GCTCAGCCAGTGAGCGGCCGGTCTGTATGTGGGATCCGAACCCTCGGCGGCAGCGCCACCGTGCTTCCCAAACAGTGCACTGCAGCAGTGCGCCACCGGGCTGGCCCAAGTTTTCCCTACTTTTTGCAACCTTTTTCCGCTTGGTTTTGGTTGAACCCTCTCTTTGGCATCTTTTACCCTTAACTGTTTCTTTCTAGGCTTTTCCTTGTTCCTATCTTCTAGTTCTCCATTGGATGTGATGTTCCTTGGGGGTTTGGTTTTGGGTTCTTTTTTTTCACTCCCTGGTGATGACCTTGTCCACTTTTGTGGCTCCAACCGTGAGTTTTAAAACTGTAATTCTAGGCCTTGCCTCCCTATTGAGTTCTCATTTCCAACTGTAAATCTCCATTTAGTGTTTCCCACTCCATTTGAGTGTCCCCTAAGTATTTCTCTTTACCAAAATACCTTTCTTCTCTTGTTTTCTCAACTTTAGCTAATGGCACTGTCATATGTCCAAATCTTAACCAAAAATCTCAGAGCATTCTTGCTTCCTCTTTGCCTCCAATTCCTTGCAATCAGTTGATCACTAAACCCAGTAGTTTCCACTTCTAAAATATCTCCTATAAGTTCTCCTCTTCCCCACGCACTACAGTTACAGTGTAGGGCTTTATAAATATGAGCGTCAACTCTGTAATAGCTTCCCAATTGATTTCTCTGCTTGACTCTTCATCCTTACATAGAATCCTCTTACTATAACCTGAATTATTGTTTAAAAATGCAGACCTAATTATTTCATTCTTTCACCTAAAATCTTTTCATAGTGTCCAGTTACTTTGAGAATAAAGTGAAATCTTCACAAGGCATTTAAGGACCTTTATATCTTGTCCCGACCTTACACTACTACCTTCATCTCCTGTCATTCTCCAGAAGAAAGTCTTTGTTCTGTAAGTCTCTGTTACATGATTACTTCGTGTACTTTTCTACTTCTGTGTCTTTCACCATCTTTAAATCTTTGTTTGGTGAAACTCTGCTAATCCTTTAAGACCTAGAAAAGTCAACTCTAAATTCCTCAGGAATAATTAATTAAATATACCAGTTTTTAAGCTCCCAAAGTCCTTTATTCATATGGAAACAAGATTTATTACACTATATTAGGTTTTCTGATATGTGTCTCTTTGTCTTGTTAGATTGTGAAAAACTGGAG